GAAAGGCGAAACAGAAGAGACTCCCATCGAAAGGCATTTGCGGGTTAGGAGAATGTCATCGGGTAGTAAAAATCGGTCTGGCTTGTTCGCACTGTTTAGCATGGTACCATACGAAATGTGCAAATGTGTCCCAACAACAGTTACGGGAGCGAAATAGCTCCCAAGATGCATTTTGGTTCTGTACTGCGTGTTCCACCATCCCCCTCGTTAAGTGCTTGCTTTTCCTAGCTGAGAAATGCGACCGGTTAATCGCAGAAGCAGAGCAGAGGATAAACAATGAGATTACTTCAATGGGAGCGAGTATGCACCACAGAAGAGTAGTGGCTTCTGAGCAACGGAATGCTGAACAATTCGCTTCCCCTGAACCGCAATCAGCCACGTCTCCATCTCCGTTGTCTTCTCCAACTTTGGCAGAACGCCGGGAGAAAACAGACGGTACCTTCGAGAGTCAAACAGTACTCACTGCAACGAAAATCAGGCATCACTCAAAACGTCCGGTTAAGCAAATTCACTAGACCTGACATCTAGTATTAACAAGGATGGAGCAGCCAAACTCCAACCCTTGGTACCTGTAGCTCAAATATCTCTTGTCGAGACTAAGCCTCCCAGAACACCAGTTACCTATGCAGAGGTTGCTGCAAACGTCCACCGAGAGGCCGCCGTTGCGTTCTCTTCCATTGTAAACACCGTTAACGCAAATGGAGAGAAAAACAGCAAACAATCACTTATCAACAAGTCAAGACAAATGAGTACCATACCTTGTAGATCGATTAAAAAGGGATCCAACAACAGTGCCCGGACTGTTGTATGCTCAAATGTTCCTGAATCTACCGCCATCACATTGCGGGATAAGTTATCAGACGACCAAGACCAATGGAACTCAATGTGTATGCAGATGAGTATCAAAGCCAAGCCCGTAAACTTGTTACGAATTACTCGTCATCCGGACTCGCCACACTATGGTGAACCCAGACTTATTCGAGTAACTCTAGAATCCTCAACCGACGTGGAAAATGTTTTGCTCTCCGCAAGCGCGCTAAAACACGAATCCTGTGTGATACGTATCTATCCTGATGTCCCTTGGAGCGCGCGACAATCAAAAAGAAACACCGAAGAGGGGCACAGCAAGCAAGACCGCCTAAACACAGTCTTCATACATGGAGTGCCAGAACATCCTTCTAACCATGTTCAAGATACCGGAAAGCACGATTTAGAACAGTGGCGGTTCATTCGTGAAACACTTTTTTGGATGATGTTGTGGCACTATCGCTCACTAGGATACCTCTCTCATCGAATTATAGAGGATGCGGCCCTAGAATCCTAAAACTTGTGGTTCAGTCAGAGCAACAAGCAAAGGATGTTTTGGATCGATGGCGAAGAAATCGGAAACATCTTCCTTCCGAAATTCGGTTAAAGGTCGCAAACAATTCGCACAGCTCAAGTATTAAAGCAACTGAAGCAGCAAGCATACCGACGGATGTACAGAAGTGTAACTCGACTGCTGCTTTAATTGACTCTGAAGTAGGTTTAAACGAAGGCTGGGACGCACCTTGGCCGAATCAAGTTGCAAACGTGGTATCATTGACCCATTAAAAAAAACGAATAACTGCTGACCTCCCATCGGTCGGCATTCTCCCACACTTGACAGCTTCACCGAATGACGGACGCTGAAGTGTCGCTACCCGGCATGTCGCTGATCCGGAACGATAGGCTCACAAAAGGAGGAGGGGTAATCCTGTACTACCGAAACGACTTACAGTGCGAAGCCGTGGAGGATTCAGATTTGCAGTTCCCCGACTCTCTTTGGTGCCGGTTGCAGTTAAAAGGTAGGGACGCTTGCCTTATTATCTTGGTGTACCGCGCCCCTAACTCAACACCCGAAACCGACTACCACCTAATGGCTGCTTTAAGGTGCAGTTTACAACCAAAGTACACTCACATTCTTATCATGGGTGATTTCAACGTACATTGTTTAGAAGCCCCTGCCACAACCGGCGAACAATTCAAAATCGATTTACAAGATCTAGTAAATACTATTCCTCTTTACAACCACATCACTTTGCCCACTCGGTTCAGAACTGGTAACAGGCCATCTGCGTTGGATCTTGTGCTTACCAACGAAGAGCATATGATTGATGCGTTGGTTTTAGACTGCCCGTTGGGTCGCAGTGATCACGCAGTCATCAGCTTCAACTTCGTCTGCTATGCAGAATATCGGAATGATAAAGATGAGACTGTGCGAACCATCACAAGGTACGACCGACTCGCCCAGCTAGTCAGCGCCACAACATGGTCTTTCCTCGAAGAAAAACCCCCGGAACTCGCCTGGCTCGAGTTCGTCAACACATTCAGTCAGCTGATTGCACAGGCTTCAGAGCTAAAAGCTTACAATAAGTGCAAATCAGTTTCTTTCGTTAGCAGCAGAACCCGAAAATGGATGACAGTACGCAATGCAGCATGGCGAGTGTACAGAGAAGCTCCAGCACCAGAAACGTGGGACAACTACGTAGCCCAACGTAACCACTGCACTCAACTGTTAAGAGAAGACAAAGCCGCCTATCAGCAGAACATCGCAAAAACCTTCAGTGCTAACCACAAACTGCTGTACAAGCACGTTAATAGCCTACGAAAGGTGAGGCAAGGATTTCCTCCACTCAAGACGGCTGATGGCCCAACAAGAACGTCTATGGAAGCTGCAAACGCGCTGCAGATGCAATACGCACCCCATGTTTCAAAGGGTACTGCCACCAAGCGATCTACCAAGCTTTGTCTTCTGCTCACCAGGACTAACCCACATCAATTTTACCGCAGAGGCTGTATTGCAAAAGCTGACTTCCGTACGCAAACACAGACCGCCGGCTGTCGACGCCATTCGTCCTGAGGCATTGGGAGTAGCAGCAAACCAACTGGCAGGACATTTAGCTCAGTTTTTCCAGCACTGCTTAGACCAGAACCAAGTTCCCGCCATGTGGAAGCTTGGAATAATAAGCCCGATTCACAAAGGTGGAAGCAGATCTGATCCCTCCAACTACCGCCCAGTAACCCTTCTTCCTATACTCTCCAAGGTCATGGAATCCATAGTTGCCGATGCACTGGTGTGCTATCTGGAAAACTGCAACTTCATCACTCCTGAACAGCACGGTTTCCGTCGACAGCGGTCATGTACAACTAATTTACTCATTGCACGCAGTAGTTGGACCGAGGCAGCCGACGCTGGAGAAGGTGTTGATGTGATATACCTGGATTTTTCCAAGGCTTTCGATCGTTTAGACCATCGGATACTACTATCCAAGCTGCAGCATTACGGGATCGGAGACCCTCTTTTAAGCTGGATAGACAACTTTCTATTTCAAAGGCAATTAGTGGTCAGAGTTCGGAGCTCTTTATCGGACCCCATACAAGTCGAGTGTGGTGTGCCGCAAGGCTCAGTTCTAGGTCCACGTTTGTTTCTGGTGTTTATTAATGATCTTGCACAGGGAATCGCTTCAAACTTTCTAACGTTTGCCGACGATATCAAGATCTGGCGCAGGATCCACGCGAACGCCGACCAACATGTGCTCCAAAGTGACTTAGATACGGTGTATCAATGGTCGACCCAAAACCTATTGCATTTCAACGTCAGTAAATGCAAGGTGCTTTCCATCCGACATCAGGGCAGCTACTCATACCGACTCGGAACGGATGTACTGCAACAATCAACTCTCGAACGTGACTTGGGTGTCCTGGTTCAAGATGACTTGGGTTGCTCCAGGCAATCGGAAAAGGCCTCGAAGACCGGGAATCAACACGTTGGGCTGTTGAGGCGGGCGTTTGGACAAATAAACAGCTCCATATTTCGACAAATGCTCAGTGCGTATGTTCGCCCCCATGTCGAATACGCAATTCAAGCCTGGCATCCATGGCTGAAACACGACCTTAATGCACTGGAGCAGCCTCAACGCCGGGCATCTAAGAACGTAACTGGAATGCGCAATCTGTCCTACCAGGAGAGGCTGTGACGACTAGGATTGTTCAGTGGAAGCTATCGCAGGCTACGAGGCGACCTGATTATGACATACTTGATTCTGCGAGACCCACATCATGTGTGCCGCACTTTACTGCAACTCAGCAGCAATACAAACCTGAGGGGCCACTCATTAAAACTCGCAGAACAATACAGTCGTCTGGAGTGCCGCAGAAATTTCTTTTCCATCCGTGTCTGTCACCCGTGGAATGCTCTCCCAGAATCGGTCGTCTCTGCACCGACACTAACAGTATTTAAAAGACGGTTGGACGATGCACTCATCCACTTACACTTTGTTACTTAACACTATGTCTCCATCCTACACCTGGAGTTTACCCTGGAATTATTTGTTGTTAACTGTGGGTGTTGTGAATATAAGTGGATCGCAGGACTGCAGTGAAGCAAACGATAAGTCCTTATTTTCGTATTTAAAGTGTTAACTATTTTACTATCCTTTTCATCATAATTATTATGTTGATATCCCCTGCAACTATCCAACGGGACTTGTAAAGCAACGCTTCTTAATCCGTATAAATTCATTGTTCATTGTTCATTGACAGGACTAGTGAACACAATGTGTTATTGAGTGCGCACGTATTTTGCGTCTGTTATCTGCGCCGAATAAGTGGTTATTTTCTTTAAAGCCTTATTTAACCTTGGAAACATTAACTAGCCTCAGTGGAATAGATGAAGATTGAGTGCTGTCCGCATGAAAATATCGCACTCCATGACGTTTTTTGACCTTTATTGATCTCATCAGGGAGAGATAGTAGGCACTGGAACACGAGGCCTTTGGGTTCTTAGACGAAGCCTCTACTCCTTAACCATTGAGCCAAGACGAGGGACGCTTATACAACAGTTAATAAAGATTTTGGGTCACCATGATTTACTCGTTGTTCGAATAGGTTGTGACGTGTAATCACCATGACGCTCCAACTATCACTAGTGCTTCACCTTAACGCAGTAAATGAAAGTGAGAAGGATGTAGTTTACTCACTTCGTTGGGATATGCGATACCTTCCATGTGTTCAGAGCTGCATTCATTCAATCCTGAAATGGAAAGTTGTGCACACAAGTACTCAACAGAAAGCGTGTGAGGTTGCTTCGCTGCAAAATTGACAACATTGAGCTCCCCGTATGCGAAAAGTTCACCGGGCCAATGTTTAGGGGGAACAGCTTCGTGTGCAAATTGCAGATTATTGTAATCTAGGAATTGAAATCAAGGGTCACAATCCAGCTGGTTCAGACTTTCCTGTGACGCAAGATTGTAGACCATAAAGGTATATGTGGCGAAAAAGGACTAATGGAAACTTTGATTAACTTACAAAAGGTTACGCCTAAGGGGTATCACTTATGGTGCAGCGTGCCTCGTGAATTATAATAACTCGCGCTTTTCTGCACGGTTTAGCCCAGAAATGATACCAGGAATGTTGAACTCGTTATATATATCGTCCCTGCACGCCGTAGATTGTCTTGCATAGATAGGATTTGATCGGCTAAACGAAATCCTTGTCACCAAAGGTAATGGTAGGTACGTTATCGCTTCTAATGCTTTCCACGGCATCCGACTGAAAAATAGCCAACTATTAAATGTTTACATTTTTAGTCTAGAGCTTGAAGCTCAATAGTGGGCATTGAGAAATGAAAACTTGGGGTCGCAAATTCAGCCCTAGCCACCATACCGTGCTTGCCGAGGATGTTGGTGAAACACATCAAACCTTAGTTGTGTGTCGCTACTGAATGTTGGTTAGTAGCGTTAATAATTACCAACCTGTTTGCTGCTGTGTGGTAAGCGGTCTCGGCAACAATACGAAATGGAATCCACAAAACAACGAGGTAGACTGATACAAACGCTAGGTTAACCAGTTTGTTTATTAATTGGAGGAACGATAGTAGCAAGTAACAATTCACTCAAATCTTTCCCACCAAGTTCCGTCTGAGAATGCAAACTTCGAAGTAACTGAGACAGAAAGGGTTTTCTCAGTCGACTGATTAACTCGTGCTGATCAGCCACAATCCTGTGTATGGCTTTGACTTGTGACAGGGTTAGCTTTCCTGAACAAAATACAGGGCCTATCTTTGCAAGATCTTCCTTTCTTACCAGAAAACTTGCAAAGCTTTAATGATTCATGTTGGAATATCGACACCGAAAATAGCAATCCTGGCGTTATATGAATTGGTGTCAAAGCAAAGTGCGGAACGAACGCAACACTAGAAAAAGCTAACTCGTTATGTAGTTTACGCGTTTTGATAGCTGTCACGTCCTTTGCTGTCAATTACTACTTGCGAAACAACTCCACGAATCTCGCATCATGCACTTGAGGCAGTTTACGGAATACAATCCATTGACGCTAACCCTTGCTTACTCGAGCTCCGTAGAAATCGACGAAAGAACACTACTAAACGAGTTCAAGTAACTCATAACCAGACGATGATGCTTCCCTATTTCATGTTATGTGGATCTGTTTTTTACAGAATTTACAGAACTGATGTGTTTACTGTTCGCCGGTCACCAGCAGTAGCAAGGGACAACCCATTTACTATGCCATTCTCTGAGTGAGTTGGTACGACAAAGGTACTAGACGAATTTAAGGACAAACACTCATCAGCGCAACAAGGGAGCAATGGCGTGAATTGTACGGTCGAATATTGCTTATGTACTGAGATGCGGAGTTTCAGATTGATAACGAACCTTGAAGGTGCTAGCTGTCAAACAAGTCCACCCACGCTAAAAGGTCAGCCTATGCAAAATGCTAAGACAGTCGCTTTTTCAATACCAGTTGCTAGTCGGTGTGCTGCTGTGTCTATGGTCGGAACACTGGGTGTGTATTTCAAATCAGTAGCCATCCGTCGACCTATGATACCATCAAGACTGGTGACCTCACAACTTCCTCGGTTCTTATCCGGAATGCTTACCGTCGTTATCGTGTGCCACCCACATGAAATCATGCATACGGATGAAAAGTACATTGAGATGAACTACTGTTATCGAGGTCGCACATACAGACATGGGCGGAAGGCGATGGTCATTTGCGTAGGTACACGGAATAACAACGGACTTCACACACAACATCACGTACGATGAAACTTGAAGCTGATCTACACACCATTGTCAAGAAGCTACGGTACAACGGTGAATAGCATAACATAACAGGCCATGCGAGATGGTGAACCTTTGGTCAACTGACTGCATAAGACAGTGTAGCACGCAGCAAAATATTTTATTTATTTACTGCTAACCACAACTTTGTCAGTTGCTTGTATAAAAGCTCTGTAGAGACTCGCACTAGACCCGAAAGTTGACCGACTCAGCAAGCATCTAATTTGTTTCATAACCGGACTTTTAGAGTCCAGTGTTTGGAAAGGTGGCGTCAAATTACTGTAGCGTTAATTGAACAGGAATGATTAAGGGGCGTGTTATAGACTCGAAAATTTGTGGATAACTGATGTATGTCTGAGGATCAGTCCTGAGAGCTATGGGTTCAGTTGTATTCTTAATGTTATGGCACCTGTTAGCGTCGAGTGGTCTCAATTTCAATAAAAGGAAAAAAGAATAGATGCAGGTCACAGACGATAAGTAACGCGGTGGATTCTTAGTTACATAACGAAGAATACGTTACTGACTTGCGATATTCAGGGTATGGCTACCTGCTTATGAGTGCCTTTATTATACTAATAAGGAAATTGTGCAAACCTTGCGCTCACTTAGAGAATGTCACAGTACTGTCCAAAAAGCAGTGTAATACAATATGTAAGTGGCAGTGTTATGAAATATACAAGTATAACACAAAGGTACATCATTTGCGTTCAGCCACAGACCGGTCAAAAAGGAAGAGTGTCGGAGGGTGTGACGGAAATGCGTATAGCTCTATTCAGAAGTGCTCGAGAAACCACCTAGTTATTACGCTGTTTGAAGCGCGTATGGATCATTGGACTTTGTGCCATAAAAATCATAAAAATGATTTTACACTTTAAATTCGTCTATCAAGCAAGTAGGCAACAAGCTCCAAATCTTGGACTTAATAGAAAATGAGGCGTTCTTTGGAAAGTCCGAAAGAGATATTGGAGCATGAAACGCACCAGATTGAAGTAGCTGGTTGTTTAGGATTATGTGTTGGTAGGGGTGCGTTGATTCGGAGAAGCTCCCTAGTAAGTGAAATAAGAATTGGGAAGGAACTTGGTACCCCCTATCTGATGTGCGCGCAAAAGCAAAACGCCGAACCAGCCAAAACCCGTTAGTGGAACGGAGTGGAGTCACTTTTCGAAGTAAACAAGTGTGCGTAGACTTATGAATGTGATCCAGTAACAGAGAGCCCCTTTTTTTACCAAAATGAACGGGATCTAAAATTGACACCGCTTATTAACGACGGCTTTTACCAAAATAGTAAACAAATGTATCAATTGCAGCTTGCGGGAAATGTGTATGCAACCATGGTAATTCGAAACAATGAAACAACCGAAGAACACGCTTTTAGCTTTAAAACAGTTAGTTCCCTTTAGTAACTTGAAAAGCACAATTAGAAGACGAAGTTCGGCAGATGCATACATTTCGTATGGTCTCATCAGTGCCGATGAGGATAATCGGTAATTTTATATAACAGCTTTGTGAGTACATACATACATACAAACAAACAAACGCGAGAATAAAGGGGTGTCTATTCCACAACCAGGGTAGGCTGAAGCTGACCGATAATTGTTTTTGAATACAAAGCACTGGCTTAATCCGATTAATGGCCATAGCCTCGAGAATTAGTATGGCTAAGCAGGATTCTAAACGCATCGTCTGTACTCACAAACTATTATTTAACATTACCGGTTATCGTTATCGGCACTGATGAGACCACAAGAAATGTATGCATCTGCCGAACTTCGTCTTCTAATTGTGCTTTTAGATTTGTCCCAACGTAATCGAACTAGACATCAAATTACCAAGTGGTGAACCTTAGCTTTATTTGTAAGCTAACACAACTCATAGGAGTGATCAAGTAGCCACCAAGAATCTATGGAATCACATTTCCTTTCTACGCCATGCAACCAGTTTCATTCGGGTAGCTAATTATAACACTAATATCACAGCAAATCCCGTAGCATGTTCAATTGTTGTAAAATGTGTGAGATGAACCATGGTGTCATAAGTTCTCGAAAAGATCGGAGCAACAACGGCATGAAGTGAAGAGTAAGCTAGAGCGGGCTATGCGAATGTGCATGCATATAATGTCGTTCAACCCGAATCTCATTCGCATTATGTTTTGTGTGAATATAAATTCCAGTTTTTATGGGTATTAATCAAAATGTATGACTAATGGACATCAACAAGCAATCATTCTTTTTGGTAGTTTACACCAACATTTTGAGGTCTGCTTAGCAAACACTACACTCTTTTAGTTATCCTCAACATCACTACACGTAAGGTGTGGGTGAGAAACAAACTTCAGCTATTGTGCCGCAATACAAAAGATGCTATATGAAAAAGGGAGATATTATAAATTATTAAATAAGAAAAAACTAGGTAACCTACTGCTTAGTAACATACTCTGCTTCAAGATGGGGTCATGTTTGGAGGAGGAGAATAAGCAAGATGGGGACGGGTAAAGAATCTCACAACACAAAAGCAATTAGGTAGGCTCTTAGACATGAACCATTTATCAGGCCAGACGTGTTTATCGTTCTTCGGTGCCAAACTGACGCCAATTTCGTAGTTAGGTCCTTCATTCCTCTTGACCAAGTCATCGCTTGGTCTTCCCTCTTTCTCCTTCAACCACACTAGCAGCGCGGCATACAATGCATGATGCGGGAGTCCGTGGACTGGCATGCACAACGCGCGGCCCAGCCATTGGAGCCTGGTGTGTGTGATATTAGGCTGCTGTGTGGTTCACTCGCTCATCCTGCACCGTATACACAACGCCGAACACTCTCAGTGCTCACGCGGTGCTTCCACCTGACATGAGCTAAGCTGAGAAGGTAGCAATGATCGGACGTGACTATCCTCTATCTGTCGACGTGATAGGCAAAGTTTCGCAACCGTCGAGAAGGTTTGAGCGGACGGTTGT